AATAGTGAATACTGGACATCTAAGTGATGACAAGCCTTTTTCAGCCTTTTTTCAGCCAGCGATTTTCTTCGAACTTATAGCCGATTTATGGATCCAAAGTGAAGCGCCCCCTTTTAGATACGTCAAGAAAAGAAAAAGCCAATACACCTGTAGGAATGAGCAGTAACTAAAAATACGACAGGTGAGTTCTCGGCGACTTTGAGTAAAGACGACTCAAATTTAGAAGGTATGGCCTTTCCAGAATGGGGGCCAACGAGGGAATGTTACGGGGTTTCCATTCCTGAAGGGTTCCCGGAACACTTGCGGGAGGACCTTATCCAACAGTTGCCACCCAGCTTGTGCGAGTCGTCTTTAAGAAGACTTATTTCCACAGGCTGATCAAAGCAGAAGTCTGGTTTCTGCTTCAGAGGTTCTTTCCCGGCCTGAGAAGGCGAGCTCTCCCCAGAAAATCTTCCGTTCTTACAACGGACCCTACCTAAATCTGGCATCCCGAGTCGAGGAGCGGTCTACAATTCTCGATGAAGACTAATCTGATAGAAGGGCTTCCCTTCAATTCTTCTCGAACCCGCTTGTTCATTCTCGTTCTAGCGGTTCATAGGTGATCTATCCGAGGCGCTTTATCGTTGGGAGCCGAATTAGGAAGTGGGGGGGGGGAGTGGGGCGCACGTTCATCGTTTGGGGAGTGGAGTCACATCAAGGATTTCCCTCATCGCGATGATGTGTCCTGGATCCCCAGGTTTCCGAGCAAGGCCCATCTCGCTCCTGCTGGTTCTGCTTGGTGTGATAATGGTACATGCCACGCTGAGGAGTTCTTCAATTTGAAAATGGGAAGGGTTTGACTGGAAAGTGGATCTTATTTTGAGGCTGGCTCACCCTACGTCTCCAATGGGACCCTCACGAAAGGAGGACTATATATGTAATCAAGTGCACCTATCGACACAGTCTCAATTAAAAACGATGCCTTGAAAACGCAAATCCATTCGTCGCACTTTCAATGAGCCTCATAAGACTGAGGTGTGAGAATTCCCATCGGCAAGATAGATCTCGGGAGCCTTTCCATGTTCGATTCATTTCAGAGCAAATCTATAGAGGAATCCTTTCGCCCCGAAACGACTTCATCACAGTCCTCGTCGTCTTTCATGCGCTCTCTCAATCAGCCACCCACTCCTTTACAAGCGTGAATAGCCGCCCGATTGCTGACGGCAGTGCTCCGTCACATGAATTGTTTGACTTGCTGGGTTGAACCTGCACCACCATCCCCCACCTCCTCATACACCACTCTGGTGCGATCCTACTCTTCAACCGTAATCACCCTTACAAATAAAGGCAATCCTTCTGCTCGCTCAGGATCAAGACATTCCCTAATGCATCTCGTCCTGTGTGTCTTAAATCGGGAATGTCAATTGCCAGGATTTTCTCAGGATTTTTCCAAATAGGACCCCTCTGCTCTCCAGCATCACCCCACTGGCTCTAGTAGGATTTCTTTACATCCTACATATTCTGCCTGGCTAATGCAGCCTCGTATGAAACTGAATGAAATCTTGCTTTTTCTGGCGACGATAATACGACCCCCTCTCCACCCTTCCTACGGGTGTCCCCCAAAGAACGTGTAATGTGCCTGGTCTACAAGGCAGCTCGCCGTCGTTGAGAAAACCTACGGACCGCCTCTCAAAGTTCCTCCGTAGGCAAACTACCCTCTTCTCCATCCTACCCCTACTGTTCCATATTTCCTGAATTTTCCCCACTATTTTTCGACAGAAGCGTCGAAGCAAGCGGTGAAAAGCAGCCAATTTTTCTCATCGCTTTCCTTTCTCCATCCAACCCCGATGCTGGAGCCATCCCTAAGCCGCGACTGCTCCTGTTTGTCCATTAGTCATCCTTACATGACTCAGCGATAGCAGCAACTGCAGAGCGTAGCGACCTCTTATTATTTACTATAGCCCATTTTTATGATAACTGCCGATCATCGCTTGACTGCAGCTTGAAATAGCGGTACTTTAGTACCGAGTTTCTTATTTCCACAGCAGCCATTTAAATTCCACTTGGGGCCAGCATCAAGAAAGAAATTTTACTTTAACAAGGCAACTTCGATCCCTCAAAGCCCTCCAAATTGGCAAAAGATTTCGCCTCCAAAAGCCACTCTATGGGGATCCTTACAGTTAGCAAGAGATCTGACCAGCGTCAACCTACATTGGAGCTAACTTGTTCAGCGCGCGGAGTCCAGGAGGTACCAGTTCTTCAAGTTCTCCCCTTCTCAGAGAGATTGACCGAGAGTTCCTATTCCGTGCACCGATTCCTCGAATTAGTAAAAACTGTCCCGCAGTTATATTTCATCTAGAACAGGTAACAAAGAAGTGGTGCTCCTAACCCCTCCCAGGCCGGACTGAGGTCAACGAATTAGCTTCCACATGAGCAGGGTGGAAGTTTGTCAATCGAACGTCCCATTCCTTCCTGTTTCTGGCCACCCACGTAAGAAAATCCAGTTGAAAACGCGTATAACAAACTAAAGTACATATATGGTTCAATAAATTTGCTCACCACAATGGCTCCGGCACTCTTTCGGAAGTGTGGGCGTGGCCAATGGCCATATTGGGAGGAGCTGTCACCTATCACCTGTCCTCATTTGGCCTTCCTAATCCGTTTTGGTGAATCACATCTTGACCTTCTGGTCGCTGATCATTAGCGATTAACGGTTTTGTTCTCATCCTGTCCATCCCTCTATCGTCTTCATGCCCTGGAGGTGGTTGACCGACGGGTTCACTCAGCTAACGGTCAGCTGGTTCCCGGGGATTTTTGCTGTTTGATCGCTTTGTTCGTCTTGAAATCGTTTGTGAGCGATGTTTGCTTGATTGTCGTCTGGATTCTCCTGAAATTTGACAGCCAACGGGGGGAGCACCTCTGTTCGAACGCGCCCGTCCCCAGCGCCGTCGTCGTCTCGAGCCGAGCCGACGCGATCAACACATTGTCGCATCGGCTACGGTATACGCATCCTCAAAAATGCGACTATTTATCGACAAACATTGCCTCCTCCAAGCTAAACATCGACTTATTTAGAACGTTCTTAAATAATCCGTCATCCATTCCAACCCATCTGTGTCGCCTCCTTTCTTTTCATCATCCACTCACCCTTTATTTCCTTCTCTATTCCCCATTTTCCTTTACTTTGTAAACCTCAGGGGCACCCTGCTCCCAGACTTTTCGTTGCGAAATGAGCCCTACACTCAAGTTCCGTCCAAGAAATTTCGTCTCAAGAAAGCCTATGGGAGCTAGGCAATGACTTTTGAAAGATCTATAACGTTCAAGTTGACGTCGTTATTCTCATGGACAAGTTTGGCGTCAATTAGACGGGCCTCGGAACAATGAATGACGTCGCCAGCTAGCCAGAAGAAGTGAGCCTGAATAAGGTACCTCAAATGGCCCTCGAACAAGCCCCTATAGAGGCTCAGGATATTTGTTAGGACGGCTGTAGGCAAACTTAGAATAACCATAAAACCAACAACTTGATTCTATAAATAGAAGCTAATTCCTAAGGAACTCAGCCCAATCTGTCTTGTGATCAGTGATAATCTGCTACCGTAATTGTATTACTGTAAAAGGAGTAAGTTCGAGTGGATTTCATGTCTCATCTTCAACGTTGTTACCGTAATTTCGTGAGCGAGCGCATCCATGCCGCTCTTCGCACTCTCATGGCACCGCCCATCGTCGACGGCGATTGGCGGGCGCAACGTGATGGGCGTGGCATTGACGAGCTGTGCATCCCTCAAGCATCCTCGCCGCTTAAGGTATCACCACGCCGACAGCTCTTCCTACGGTAGCAACCAAGCAGGCAGTAGTAGGCAGTAACAACAACTGAACTACCTAGCTAGCTATGAGTATTGACGGTGAATTTCTACGAAATGTTGAAGTGAAGACGGACGAGATGTATGGGAATTCGTTGAATGCGCTTTCGATTATTCGCTCAGGGAAACTTATCGGAGTAATTGATAAGGTAAGTCATGGCGATAGCTATTGAGAATTTCGAATTGTATTCATCACATTCCGACAATTCTTCATATTGTTTTCTCAGGAAGCTACAAATGATCCCAATGCATTACTCATTTTGAATCTCATCAAAGAAGTTGACGACAGGAATCAAGCCAACATTACTATCAGGCAAATCGACAACAGGGTGAGTGAATGGTCTATTTCCACCCAATTTCATAGAAAGGCGCACGTCGACGACAAAAAGTGGAGCTGGGGGGGTGATCTGTTAACTCATGGCAACCATTTGTTTACTGAGCAAATTGTGTAAGTCTTCTGAAGCTGTGAAAACTTTGGAGAGTATCTAAATTACATATGTTACGCGGTCTTTTCTTCGATTTTCTTTAGTTGGACGTCATTTTTAGTACTGGACGGTGTAGGGGGATCCTGGAAAACCGAACTTAAGGGCTCTGGGTGAAGAGGCTGTCGGGAGAGCCTTGAAGGAAAAAGCTCTGGTGTGGGCTCGAGAGGAAGGACCTCCGAGAAGGCCAAAGCAAGGGAACTGCTTAATTGGCTCCGACAATGTTTCAATAACTATGTTGTGTTTTGTTCTGCTTTACTAACCGATAACAAATCATAATCATAAAGGGGGATATTATCCGGGCAAGCCCAGGCAGGAGGAGTTCTACCGGGGAAGAAACCTTCAAGGATGTTTAGAGGGAAGACAGCCTGTTAGGGTTTAGCAGAAGGCCGTCCTAGAGGTCAACGGGAAGTTAGCTGTAGAATCCAGAAAACTCTAGAGCTAAGGAGCTCTGGTATGGGTCCCAGGGAAAATGACCTCCGAGAAGCCAAGGAGGTAAGTGGCGATCCAGGGAAGCCTAGAGCTAAGGAGTTCTGCAGTGGTTCTGAGAGGTGGGAGCGGAAGGTTCACAGGGAAAGACATCTAGAATGGCTTAAGGGGAAAGGAACTCCCGAAGCCTAGGTAGGGAAGAACTCTGGGGTGTGGTGCCGTGGTGGGAAACTAAAATCTTGGGTGAAACACGGTGTTCGAGATTCGGGAGGGGTGGGATTACATCACTAAGAGTTCGTAGGAAAAAGCCTTGTCAGCTCGCATGTGCGGCGTATAAATATGTCGGGTCCCCGTTTGCCTTAATGTTGTATTATATACTATAGAAAGTGAAAGTGTATCATGAAATGCCCCTCCCCCACTCCATCCCCAGTAGTGGGCTAGCGCCCAAGGAAAACTATTCAGCATTGGATTTAGACGTATCTCGCAACCGCGAGACATAGCTCTGGAGAACGTCTTCTAATGCAACGATACACGGGCAGCATTACGGAAGATGAAGAAGAGGATGAAGAGGAAGAAGAAAGAGATGTGGAGGAAGAAGATGAAGAGATGAAACAAGAAAGGTAAGTGGTGTAATTCAACTCAACAAATTCGTACACGACTCTTTCACCCTCTGCATGTCTGCCTAACGGCCGTCGGCGGCCACTGCACCACGGCGACACTCTGCAGACCCCGTTGGGCGCGTGGTGTTCGGCGCGCGCGCACTCAGTCCGAACAGCTCCAGTTGTTATCTCATTGACTAACTGTTCGCATTTTCTACGACCGCTCTACTGACCTCAATTACGACATAAGGAAAGCGAAATCATAGTCACATACATAACGTTGTCCATCAGTCTCTCATCCTCTTCAGCTCTTCCCCCAATTCAATTCCTCCATTTCTCCAAGAATTCCTCCATTTCAGACTCCAATGATGAGCCTTCAAATGCTATTATAAAAGTCAACAACGAACCACGTGAACACGGAGAACTCGAACCCGGTCAACTAGTCCCAGAGGGTCAAGCTCATAAGTGTGCATTGTGCCCGAAGAGTTTCTCAAGTGCTAGGTAAGTGATGCTCATCATCATCTTACGATTAGTTTACTCAGACGAGCTATGGAGTCGAGTGAGTGAGTACCAGCTGTCCCGGAGAATACGGTAATGTGAAAGGGATACTGAGCTGAGGAGTGTCCTCAGGTGCGCCTGGATGCATTAGCTGGTGTGCATGCGCGTCTATTTGCTCAGCGCCACCATCTCCACTGTAACGCATCTCCTCGCTGGTTTCTTCTTGATCAGGGACACTTTGGGCTCACCTTATCAGGGACACTTTGGGCTCACTTTTACCTACGGAAAACTGTAGTAATTTCAGCGGTCTCAAGCAACATTCACATATTCACTGCAGTTCAAAGCCATTTCGTTGTCATATCTGCAACAAGGCTTATACGCAGTTTTCCAATCTCTGCCGGCATCGACGAATTCACCTGGTCAGCTGTTTTTTTCTCTTATTTCCCGATTTTTATACAATTAATTTTGGGATTTTCAGGATGGATGGCAGTGTCCCATCTGCCAACAATCATTACCTTCACATAGCGCTCTTGTGAAGCATCGAACTCTTTGTGAAATGGCATCCGCTCTCTATAAACCGCTCATTCCTCATATGCCCATACCGGGCCTAGCGCCACACATGATGCCCAACTACTGGCCACATCTTATTCATATTGCCACACAGGTGAGCCTTTCGTTGCGCAATCGGATCAGGACGCGGGGTGGGGATGAGGGAAATTGGTCGTTCAACGTCACCATCCTTTACGGCTCACTTTAGTATGATCTTCTTCAGCCAAAAGGCATCATAGCCGAGGATTCTTGATGAGGTGATTATTAGGGTCGCTACGAAACTGTGGGGGGGGGGCAAGGACCCACCGAAGAAATTGCAGAGAAGAAGAAATTATAGAGCAATCATACAATAACTACTCCTATCCTCCTCCTTCTCCGCCCTTCTGTGATCTGGGATAGAATGAAAAGGAATGCTGTGAACAGGGCACATCATGGGGGTGCAGGTCTTCTACAACTCCTCCCGTCTCCCTAGTGACTAGAGACGATCGCTTTCCCATGCAGACTTCACAGCGATGATGTAGAGTGACCGGGGGAGGGGGTGTGGGACGACGGATGGGGTTTGGCATGACGAAGTTCGCCTTTATCTGCCCTACCATCGGACTTGTGGTCCAATTATACCTGTCTGCACACTTCACCTCTGTTTCCAACTTCATATCTTACTTTTGTCCCACACGAAAAGTGGCCCACTGGAAAATAACATGGTACACCGGGAACGGGAAGGTCTCTGATCTTCCCCCAAATTCCACTCTCCTTACGATTAGCGCAGGTCCCTCTGAGGCAGTCAAATACGATTCTCTCCAGCAACTCGAAAGTG